CAAAGCGCGGAGCGGAGCGCGGAGCGGAGCGCGGAGCGGAGCGGTCCGCGCCGACGTGCGGTAGCGCTGCGGGGAGCGGGAGAGAAGCGGGGTGTCCCCTTTGCCCTGCGCTTCCTCCTCCTCTCTCGGGGAAAAACACACACGCACAACCCCCTCGTCGGAAATACGTCCGAGCAGAGATGCACGTGCCCCACCAAAATCACCTCCAAGGGAAAAAAAAAAAAAAAACACAAGCAATAAAAACAACAACAAAAAAGTTACCTTACGAACCCAAAATACACCCCCTGCCGCTGTCACTACGTGCATGGCGCCCTGCTGGGCAGAGTGGGAGGCCCCCAGCCGGCCCCTCCATGCTGCAAAGCTCGCGGTCGGCGCCCGCGTTGCTCTTTGGCAGCGGGGAGCCAGAGCGAGTGCACAGGGCATTACATTTATGAAGGCTAAATGTGAACTTCATCTGCATTGCAGACGGCTTTTTTTTAACAGACTCATTTCCCAGGAAGAGGACACTGCTTGTGTTGCCCAAAGAGCCCCTCGAAGTTGCCCTTTTTCCACAGTTGCACTAAATTATCCAGCAGCTGCTGGGGGCTCTATGCACAGCCGCAAGGATGGGCATGGAGAGCAGAGGCTCCCGCGGGCCCCTCCGCGCTGCCGCCTGTCCTGCGGGTGCTCCGAGCTGCTCCCGATTCCTTTGCGCCCTGAATGTGCTCCAAGAGCAGAGGAAAATGGTGGCGTGAGGGGTCTCCAATGTGGTGAGGGCACTGCTGGGACGGGAGATGGCGGGGAAGGCGCCGGGGGAGATGGCGTGAGGGGAGATGGAGGGGAAGGCACTGAGGGGAGGCAAGATGGCGAGGGAAGGTACCACAGGGAAGGTGTCAAAATGGCGGGGAAGGCGCTGAGGGGAGGCAAGATGGTGAGGGAAGGTACCACAGGGCAGGTGTCAAAATGGTGGGGAAGGCGCTGAGGGGAGGCAAGATGGCGAGGGAAGGTACCACAGGGAAGGTGTCAAAATGGCAGGGAAGGCTGAAGGGAGGCAAGATGGAGGGAGAGGGCAGGGGAAGGGAGACGGAGGGGAAGGTGCCATGGAGAAGGCACCAGGATGGAGGGGAAGGTGCCATGGGGAAGGCGCCAAGATGGAGGGGAAAGTGCCATGGGGAAGGGGAGCAGGATGGCCGAGCATGGGAGCTGGGGCAGCCCTGGAGCCGGCGGCGCTCCCGGCCTCCGACACAGCAGGTCTGCCCTAGCAAAGCCGATCAGCATCAACGGAGATGGGCACTGCACGGGTGGCAGGAGGCACAGGGCGTCCACCGAGCAGCGGCCCCGATTCAGGATGCTGGGAATATTCCGTGTTTTTTCCCCCGGATGCTGCAGCAGAAGCTGTTTAAGTGTTCCCCATTACGCAGGCGGGAGGCACAGGACCATCCGGCTGTCCCAGTGCTGTTTTCCAAGTTTTTCCCAGGTGCCGTGGGCTTCCAGGATCTTACTACAAAAGGTGTCTCCTCACCAGTGGCCTATTTGCTAAGCACAGGATTTTATTGTGTTACAAAACAATCACCGTATAGACCCTTCAGATTTTACATCTTTGAGAAGCAGAGTATATATAGTGAAAAATGGGCTTATTTTCAGTGATGGGATTATCTAGGGTACCTGCTAACTAGAAGCCCATTTGGCCCAGATTTTACATCTTTGAGAAGCAGAGCATATACAGTGAAAAAATGGGCTTATCTACAGTGATGGGATTATCTAGAGTACCTGCTAACTAGAAGCCCATTTGGCCAATACGATTTAAAACCACGTCAGTGAGCAGGCTGCCTTGTACCCACCTGCTTCAGCTTCTTTTAGTGTAGCAATATCTATCATACTCTGTGCTGCTACAGTATTGGAATTTAAAAAAAGCCAACGGCAGAAGGACAGAGGTATCTGCAAGTCAGATGTCACATCTGAAAGGAGCAACAGCTTTCCAGTTTCCTGAAGCTCTCCTAAAGGTTACTGCTCCAATTTAAAAAATGTTAATGTCTCTTTGTATGCACTTTATAAAAAGTAATTGATGTTTATACGTGGCTTTTTTGCTATTTAGTACTTTAAACACGATCCTCGGATGCTTCCACAGACTTTCGCAGGAACGGGGGCGAGCTTTAGAATAGCTCCAAAGCTCCCTAGATTCCAGTAATGTCATTACATGCAAATCTGGAGCCTTTGCAAACAGATAACCAGATGAACAATAAAGAGTAAGCGAAAAAATCCTATTATGAATTAATTAGCTGATGTTCAATTGTATCCATTTCTATTTTGCCAGAGATATGAACAAAATCAGCAAGCCTGCAAATTCAGAAGGGCTTAATAAGTCATTAAGTATCCAGAAGAACAACACAGCAATTCTCCCAAATGATAGCTTGTGACCGCCTATCTTGCTTGGATAAAGTTTAATATATAACACAATCCAGTCTTATTTTTACACTGTATTTACTAATGCAGCATTTGAGCATCTGCACTTTTATCCCAAATTGAAAAGAAATTATTGTCTGGTTAAGTACTTGTTATATTTAAAAAGGCCAACTGCTTCATTTGTGGAATATGCTGAAGTCCATACCAGAGGCTCTCCCTGTAAAAATAAAACTGCAGCAGATGAAAGACTCAAATATACGCTGGAGGGGATTTTCAGCTGTCTTCAAGACACTTTTTCAAGTATCTTACTAAACTGATAAAACCACAACATTTGTTTCCTTCTTTTCTTTAAATACAGACAGTTTTATATAGGACATGCCTTCCTGGAACATGCAACAACAGTAACATCTGATGTAAGAGAAACAAAAGGGGATCTCAGATCAGCAGGATATATTATGTATTTATTTCTAAGTAAATACCGTAACAAACACCGAAAATTTTTGAATAAAAAATAAAGACTTCCCTATATTACAATTTTCAGATCATTTATTACTAGTAAAATGAAAAAAAAGAAATTAAAAAGACGAGATGGAGAATGTCACAGACACCAGAACACTTGCACGGAGCTAATCAGAGCTTTGCAAATGTTGGATCACCAATAATTTAAAAAGCATCCCTACCAATTAAAATATGCTTGAGGGGTACATAGTTAAATCTGCTTGTTTTATAAATCAGGTGATTCATCCTAAAGTTGTGGTGGAAGGGCCATTTCTTTTCTGATTTAACTCGGAACAAGTAATGACGGCAACTTTAAATCATTTTTCTGGCAGGTCTCGTGCTGGTCACCCCATGGGAATGGTGCTGCGGAGCCGGCCAAGTCCTTGTTCTTCCTGCATCCCAGATCCAGAGGCCACCCCGGCTGCTTCGGGAGCAAGGTACGTGCAGCTGCAAGGAGCTTTCCCAAAGAAAAGCCCATCCGTGTGGGAGCCCACGGAGCTGGGGGTTGGTATGTTGCGGGGCAAGGCTTAAAGGAGGATCATGGGGTGCATTTAAGAAGCCTCTCCTAAATACTGTTGCTTGAGACCAGTGAGTTTAATGAGAAAACCATGCTGCTCTTATCAGCAGCAAAGGCTACCTGAATTCGGCATCCTGTGTTGCCCTGGAATTGTTTTAGGATCTGTTTTTCTGCGGCAAATACCAAAAATTAACGACATCCTGTTTTGAGCTAATAAATAAGTAAAAAACATAAGTGCCAAGCCATAGAAACTCAAGCCTTCCCTTCCTGCTGCATTCTTAGTCCCCCGGTTCATTTCAGTTCACACTAAAGCCCCTTCCACGCCACTCAACGCGCCCGCACAACCCCATCGTGGTGCAGCTCAGCAACAGCCTCTCCAGCTTCCAGCAAAATTCACCCCTGGGGACAAGCACTAGTTACATCCACTTCCAAAGCGGGTCTAAGGCTGATGTTGCACCAGAAGGTGACCTGCACCTCAGAGGAGTTTTGGAATATGTAAAAAAAAAGTCATGTCGGGCTCAGAGGTGTCTGCTGAGCTGCCACCCTGCTAGCCCCCAGCCTGGGCCACTCTCCCCAGGCAGATTCCCTCTGCACATCACGGCAGGAAAACCATCCCGGCAAGGCAAGAAGCCTCCACCTTCTATTTTCATCAAAGCCCGTGATAAACGAATGCACATACCGTCCAGCTGGGTATCCAAAGTTGTTCTTTTTGGCCATAAAACACATCTGTGTCTTGCTTAATGGGTTTGAGGGGGTTATTGACAAATGCTGCCCCATCCCAGTGACGCCCTCAGCCCCGGAGGGCAGGGAGGACGTGGACCTTGGCAATGGAAAACTCCGCGGGGAAGGCGGAGGGAGAGCTGGATCTTGGTACCCATAAAAAATTGCCCATCCCTGGTTACAGTCTTTGCCTTTTCCCTGGGAATGATTCACAGCCACCACCACGACTGCTCTCATATCTGATCCCAGCATTTCCTGCCCCACTCGTGGCCGCCACGGCCCACGCCGTGGATTTTCTGCAGCTTTCCTGGTTACTCACCGGGCCAGGCACACGGCGCAGGCAAGACTGCCCACGGATGTTTGCAACACCTCCCTGTCAAGGCTTGACTTTGCAACAACACAGGGATAACTTTCAGCCTGATATTCCTCATTACAGCTCCAACTACCCACACGCAAATGTTGGCGTGTTACTCCGAGACAACAGGGTTGTAGAAATCAGTACAAGTACCGGGGATGCCCTGTTCTGTTCACTCACATAACGTGAATAAATCCAAACCCTGCGTGGCTGCCCGGAGCTGTTATCTCCCACTCTGCTCCACATTCCTCCTTCCAAATCACACCTCCAAACCAGGCACGAATGCAACAGGACAACCCTCCTGTATCTGCTAAATGCAGAGTTCCAGGTTTTCTCCAGGTTAGCTTTTTCCAGCAAATTTCAGGAGGTTGCTCTGTTAGAGGAAACAGCCCTATGGCTTATATTGACGTAAATGAGAGCTCTGTTTATGTGTAAACAAATGGCCTGGTAGATTTTCTGCAGGAGAGTGAACTGCCCTTGTTTTTGCACAGCGATACCAAGCATCAACCGTATTTCCACTTGCCAGTCCCTATTCCTGATTCTGCCTTACCTGTGAAATGGCAGTTAACTTTTTCTCTGGGAAAAAATAAAATAAAATAAAATAAAATTTCCCCTGATTTTCACCTGATTGCTACACCACAGGGGAGGGAACTAAACCCATGTTTAACAACAAAACAAGCTCCTTACTAAGGGACGCTCCCGCAGAGGGCTGGTTTCAGGCTGTTCTGGTGCTTAAAGCAGGAATTAATTGCTGAGACAGAGGTGGTGACAAGCAGGGATCCCTCAGCCTGACCGGAGGGTCGGGACGGGCACCCGGGGAGCGTCGCCGCCGCCGGTCAGCAGCCGTCCAGGACGCCGTCGCCCGCCGGGGACTCGGCCGTGTCCAGCTCGACGCTGGAGAGGAAGCGCCGCAGGGATTTCCGACAGTTGTAATCCAGGGTGGTGGTGTACACAGTCTTGGCGTGCTTGGGGTACACGATGGTGGTGCTGGTGAAGCGCCGCGGCTTGTGGCGGGGCTCGAAGCGAAGCTCCGCTTTGTAATTGCGCCACGTGCAGTTCGGGACGCACACGACCGTCTGGCTGCAGGAGGCCACGCTGAAGCCCACGGGCATGTAGACGTCGTCGATGAAGTGCTGCTCCGAGGCGTACGTCACCGAGGACGTGTACCTGCAATGCGGGACGGGGACGGGTCTCAATTCTACTGTACGGCGTTTTTCAGGAAAAAAACAAAAAAACTGGCAGGTGCCTAGATTGGATCCTCAGCTCTGAACCTGGCTACTTAACCACAAAAATAGCCACGTAATGCAAAAACCGTCCAGTGGCAGAATATCTACTCATTTTGGGGTGAGAGCACCTGGTGCTGCCAGCACTGGGCACCATCTGAGCGCAAACACCCCCCGTTTCACGGCGGAGCAGCAGGGACAGCTCTCGAGCCGGGGGCCCAGCGTGAGGCTTCGCTCTAAGCACCCCGAGTCCCCGGAGCGGACGCCGTTTGCTCCGTTTTCACCCGTACACGAGCTCTTTCCTAGCACGCTTGGCCCGGGATGCTCTTTGGAAGCCCATTCAATCACTTCCACCCTGTGAAGACTCCCCCGGCAGGACTCCCTGACGAGGAGATGCTCTGTGCCCTGCACGCCCGCGCAGCCGCGGCTGTTAGCGCTGCGGGAGCCCATGTCCCTCATCACCGCAAATCGCCTCATTTGGGGGACCAATTTGCAGGTTACGAAGTGAAGCAGCGCACCGAGAAAAGTACAGATATCCCTTAACATTAACTTTTAGCTCATGCAAGCAGCCATAGTTAGTAAGATAGAAATTTCTTGCAATAAAGCCAGGAAGAGAGCAAAATGCCTTTCCTCTAATAAACAGCCTCTCAGAGGCCGCTGCTTTGAAGCCCTTTCCTCGCAGCGACATTTGCTCCGCAGAAAGGCAACGCTTGGGAGCCGTGCAACGAAACGCAGGAAGCCTCCCTGGAAAAAAAGTTTTATGTGCGGCGCCGAGCCCTGCCGCAGCTCCAGGAATGCGCAGCTGCACGAACAATAGCAAATAACCCCGCGCCGCTCCCGGCGCTGATAAGGCCCCGCGCTGCCGGCCGCGCTCACCTGATTTCCGTGGGCGGCAAGGGGTCGAACTCGACGCCTTCGCCGAAGGAGAGGGGACACAGCCTCGGGGCGCAGCTGGAGAGCAGCGGGCTGGGAGAGAGCGACGAGGTCTGCAAAGAGGCAGCGTTAATCGCGTGTATCCCCGCGCCGGCTGCTTCCCTGGGAAA